AACTGGTAGAAAAATTTTTTTTGTTACACTGAAATTTCATGTCATAATTCAATAGGTTTTTGTCAACATTTGTTGGATTTTACATAAAACATCGCAATTCTCAGTTCTCACTCTTAATGTCATGACCTTTCAAACAGGACCATGTTAACAGATGAAATCTGCATGTCATTATCCATTAGAAAGAGAGTGAAGCCGAATAAGTGTGTGGCATCTGATAAAGTCGTTATCTTAGTTAACTGCTTTAGAGCACGTCAGCATCGAACATCATACTTTAATCATTGATGCCGCTGGTGTTTTTTTCTTTGCTGATTTCTTCGAAATGCTTATTAACAAGGAACTGATTTTGTTTTAGGGTGAGCTTACATTTCACCACGGCAATGAAATGTGAGCATGATGCTGTGGTTTTTTAGGAAGTTGAGTTTAGTTGCTGGCAACTGTCTGTCGTTCATCTAGAGCTCTTTCTGTTCAGCCTTCGAAACTGTTGTTGATATATCCTGAGACTTTATATGGTTGAGTTTTCAAGATCAATTGGAATATAACATTCATTTCGCTATGTGTTAATGAATATACGGATGTTTTTGCTGAACTTGTATTCTTTGAATGCAAAAATGAATCAGTCGTCTTCAAATCCAATCAATTCTAGCCTCGAGGCTTGATGTAATCATGGATTCCTATGGCAAATGGTAATTGAATTCGTATGCTCAACGATATGTGTGTGCGTAGTTTTTTCTTTCAATTAGTATACTGGTAATAATCCTTTGGTATCTTTTGTTTACTTTGGTATTAATCCTTTTACGAATCCTCATCAATTGCGCATCCCTATAATTCTGTTCTATACTTTCTATAATCCACATTCCATTCCTATATTAGAGTCCCGTGAGACATATTCAATTTAGAATAGCACTGATGGGGAACCAAATAGAGATTAAGGCATTTTTCAATAAAGAATTTACGATTTTAGTAGAATTCAAACTTTATTTGAGTGTCCATTGGGACGTTTTTATAACCACTGCTGATTCATTGCTGTGAGCAAAGTCGAATTGTCGTTTAGGGCGCTATTTCATCTTATTACTACGAAACTGATGATAAGCATTTATCACGTTGGATTTGTCCCTTTATCATTGTTCAACCAAATGGATTTTTCATTTATCAAATTTATCAAAACCAAATTTATCAAATCTATCAATGTTTCTCCTCACTGATCGATTTAAGGTGCGGATTAAATTAGTTTTTCGCACAGCGATATTGCAGTGAGTTAAGAAGCACCTCGAAAAAAGTGTACCTTCACACATCATGAATTACGACAACGAAAACAATGTCGCGATTGTTTCTGAGAAACTTTGCCGTAAGACAATGAATTATTCAAAGTGAAAATATATCGGACAGATGTCGTGTATTGTTATTTGGTTGTTTGCTTGTTTTGTTCCGAATGAAGACAATAGAATAGAATTCGATCTTAGTGCAATATAGGCTGGCATTTTATCACATGCGTTTGTGTACTTATAAACCTATCAATTTCACTTATAATGTATGCATGGACTTATGCTGCTGTGTCGACTAGCTGAGGGTTCTTTAGCGAAGGCTAATTACGAACGAAACTTGCAGAACAATCTGCTGATGCAAGTTGGTCGGCGCAATGGTGTAGGTTTACATGTGACTAATTATGGCGATAGTATTCGTAGGAGAATATTAGTATTCATGATATGAGGTTTCCGTTGTGTCGTCGTTATTTCATTGTAATATTCATGAGATTCGCTTTTGATTATGCATTCATTCAGCCAAACTTATTGCCGATTTTCATAGACCAAGCGATTAGGAGTGCAAGTTTTTGCGTTGAATTTGATATGCAACCAAGCAGTGAATTTTATATTGAAGCCAACGAACGCATTGTTTTATCAACTTCACCTAAAGAAACACGTAAAATTTCCGGTTGGATGAGCTTCTGCTTCTACAGTACCTTGCTTCTATCAGATCAGCTTCAGTAGCCTTGTTCATTGTTAATTCTTACGTTGAGTCGGGAAGGTAGTGTTCATCAACCCCCTTAGATATGAATGTATCTCATCAAACTTTTGAGCTCTCCATGATCATTCTGCAGTAAATACAGAGACAGTTTTCTATCACCTGTTCGGTACGAATATCAATTTGTATAGCTGCTGCAGTTCAGATAGCCCCTTGCACCTCCTTCATTGAACGTGTTTACTTTTAGTGCAAACTTTTTTGGTGGATCATTGCAAAAAATTTCGGAATTTTGTTAGTTTTGGACAGAAAATAGATATTCATAGCCAAAAGTTTTATTGCTGCTTTCCGAATCCATTCTATTTGTCTGTCAGAAGCAAGAAGTTTGGGGAAGCAGTTGAAATTTGTTCTCATTCATAAGGTTATTCACGTCTGCAATTATCATCAGTCATAAGAATAATGCGATCATCAATATCTATGTCTCAAATCTCACAACGTCCTTTAACAACTGATCGTAGATGTTCATGCTCACCATCAAGGTTAGTTCATTCATTGGGTCTTATCAACATATCAGCACTATTCTATCGATAACAGAAGTGATATTGGTAGCAGCGATTCTATTAAATGATGCTAATAATAATCTCTATCAGTTTTACCATAATAATGATATCAAAATGAGAACATTTCAAATAATATTGCCCCATCATCATAGTATAGTTTATTGCTTAACCACTTTTGATAGACTTGCTTCTACTAAAATTAACGCAGAGTTGAAAAGAATGTTTATAAATGGGATGCAATTTGACCAATGGTACTCGTCTGTGCTGCACCTGCATAAAATGCTTTTAGATTCAGAATTAAATGTGACGCTTGCGAATAAAACCATCAAAAGTTTGAATGTTGAAATCATCACGGTACAACATCACCGTGTGGCACTAAAACGCATTAACTTTTCAATTTTTTAAAATTTTCATTACACCGTATTTAGAAATAACGTTTCGGAAGAAGACTTCGATTCATCTTCGTTTCATGTGGTTGTTTTGTTGAATTTGAACACTTGCACTGCTTGTTTACGAACAAATC